TATATATATATATATATATATATATGAACTCAAGCAGTGACAAGATCACTGGACTGTATATGATGTTTCATGATTCACTTGCTCCGCTGTACTTCACTGGTGCACATATTTTTCAATAATAACTTCACAGATGTGGATACAATCTGTCCAATCGAGCTTTAACTAGCACCTAATTATGACCTGCAGGGAACTTGGGTTTTATTTTAGTGGTGATAATAAGGAAGGGATTGGGACTGCAGGCAAAACAAGGTACAATGAATTTGCCCTACTTCGCTAACACATGCAAATATACGTACAGTCACACACCCTTTCATCCTACATTAAAACACATTCAATTTGTGTAAAAGTGTCACTTTTGTTGCTGTACACAGCAGAGATCTGCCTGGGTTTATCAGTGTGTAATTGCTGTTGATTGCTATATTATTACCCCGCTTAATCTGGATGTGGGTGGGTAATAAAAGGAGCTCCAGCGGGGATGTTCTCAATCGCAAGCAGAGTGTTAGGGCCCAGAATAAAAAGTCAAAGGGAGCGAGGAAGGTGGAGGAGATGGGAAGGAAGGTGAGATAAGGAGGCGTTGAAGAGGAGTGAGACAAATTAATCAAGAAACCGCAAACAGTGTGAATCGTGAATTAGGCGTCACATGATTGATGGCTCTGTGTTCATTGGCCCCAATTCTCAACAGAGGGGGCAGGTGTGCGGAGGTGATTAGATTGCTGTACGGTGTAGAGCAAGCAGCGAGGGGTGTATATGATCACTCCCAAGCAGACACACTGTGGTCCCAATGATCTGCACAAGAGCAAAGTGTTGACCCTGTGGAGTGAATGGAGGAGCTAACATGACACACTAGCGTTTGGTGTCCCGCAAGGCTAGTCGGGATAAAATTGTCTCACATTCCGGAAGGAGGCGGATGAAAATCAAGACAAGTAACAGGGAGAGAGTCCAGGAGATTTTGAACAATGCTAAGAAGCGGCGGTGGCTCGTCAATTGAGGGCACCAGGGTGCTGCATACCCGCCCAGCTGAATCACCTTGAAAGGGACAAAAATCTCATCATGAAATATGAAAATAAACAAGCCAAGAAACAGATAAATATAAATGTGCGCTAATTTATTTCTATCTATGATAAATCTCAGCAAGTGCGAGGCCTATGAGCTACTCATGTGGTCCGTAGAGGAGACCCGCAGGCACCGTGTTGGTAACCCATGCTCTATTTTGTCCATGGGTGTCACTGTGAATGTGAATGATTGTTTGTCCATATCGCTGTTGTCAGGTCACAATCATATTGCCCATATTATTCCGTAATCTATATGTTGAAAATGGCTTGTTCTCTTTGATGATGCAGGGATGCTGTTTTTTTTTTTTTTTTTACTCTAAGTGCAACAACAGGACCATCACCATGACAAAAGGTAAGCAAACAAAGAGCTGTGGCAAACTACTATAACTCAAAGAGCAGCAACATTCAAAGGTCGAGGACACAATACACCTTAATTCTAAAATTTATAGAGGTAATACAGGAGAATGTGGCTGTTATCATGGCATCTAGGACACCTTAGACAAGAAATGAATATTCATAGCTTTGACAAAGGCCTTGACAGATTCTTCTTTCTACTGTCAGTTATTTCAACCTCTCCAATAAATTAATGCATTCGTGTTGATCAGAGTTTTGAGATCCATTTTCTCTCTTAGCTTTATTATAGCACCATCTTCTGGTGAACTGCTTTTATTGAGCCATTGGTTGATGGACGGCGGTAGTCGTGTGGTTAGCACGTCGACTTAACAGTGCAGAGGTACGGGGTTCAATTCCAGCTTCGGCCTTCCTGTGTGGAGTTTGCATGTTCTCCACGTGCTTGCGTGGGTTTTCTCCGGGTCCTCCGGTTTCCTCCCATATTCCAATTGAACACTCCAAATTGTCTGTCGGTGTGAGTGTGAGCGCGACTGGTTGTTCGTTTCTGTGTGCCCTGCGACTGGCTGGCAACCGGTTTAAGGTGTCCCCTGCCCACGAACACTGCTGGCATAGGCTTCAGCACCTCTGGCGACTTTGGTCAGGATAAAGCGGTTTGGAAAAATGGTTGATGGGCTTGCATATCTCTCCCTCTCTCTCTACCATGTTGTTATGCTTCATAAAGTACATCCATTCATTTTCTATAGTGCTTATTACCACCTTGACTGGTCGCCAGCCAACTGAATGGCTCATACGGATAAACAGCCATTTATATTCATGTTCACAATTAAAGGCAAAAATGCAGCAAAAGTTCAAGTTTAATTTCGGACTAATAGGTCAAAGTGACTAACGGGGGGCATTACTATAGTGAGACATGTTCCACTAGTGCGCTGAACTGTTTTGACGTGAAAACGGAGAATACACTGCTAGATGGACCTGAAAAGGGATATAATCTTAAGAGTATCCTAACAACTGATAGCAAGGACATCAAACAAATGCTCATATGCTTTGCATCATGACACTAGTCATAGTTCTAATTCTGGTGTACATAATTTTGAAAGGTTCGAGATCCATGATTGACAGCCATGATGAAGTCGGGAAGTCATGCAACTTGTCAGAGCAGTTATGGTTTAACTCAGTCATTACTCAACTCGGTCACATCGTAGAGAGCAAATGAATTCAATGAATGGCGGTGTTGTAACTACTTGTAACACGACAGTAGCCCGCTGTATAAAAGGAAGGAAGGGCAATGATGATGAAGCAACTTTGTTACGCCAGATGTCCTTTATGTTGTCCTTACTAAAAGCTAACAGTTGGGGGCGCGAAAGCCGCACTGATCAAGCAAATGATGGAAATAAATCACGAAAATGTTGCTTGGCGGGCCAGCACATTCTTCATTAGGTACACATGCGTTCTCGAATAAATGTGTTACCGCAGTAATTCTGATTTTGTCAGACAATTCGATTTAATTTGAATAATGTATTTCATGTTTTTTCATATTTCAATTCATTTGCCTTTTACAATTGTAGCCATATGAGTATGGGTGTAGGTTTTATGTATCTATTTGTAGGGGAAATAAACCAGAAGTTGGTAAAATGTCTACATTACAAGAAAATGAGAAAACGTGTATGTCTTTCCCAACTCAGACGTTTTTCATCTGTGGGTTTACCTTTTATTGATCTCAAATGGTTACTTAAGTATTTGATATACAATATTTATTTTAAGTTTTAGTTGATCTTATATATTGCATTGAAACAATGAGAATCTTGTTTAACGTAGTGGTTAAAATAGTTAAATTGAAAACAATACCGTATTATGCCCCTCTGTTAATCACATAATCAGACACCATTTCTGGCAGTCAGACAAAATTGAGCTTTTTTCATGATAGTAGTCGATGTTGCATATACATAACATTCAATTACACACTAGATCGATGTGTAGAAATACACGGACACACACACGTACACACACACATACACGGAGGCTGGCCACATTTTTACCTACAATACGATGACAAAAGAAATCGTCGCTCAATTGCTCAATGTTGTACAGACATTTCACATGTGCTGTGGACGCAAGGCAGTGTTAAATTGGTTAGTATTGTTGGTTCTTTCCCACATGTTCCGTTCAGGATTCCCGTTCTGACACCGGTGCCGGTGCCACTGCCGTTAATTGCATTTAGAAATTCTTCAGGCTGTGTCATACGACTTTCTTCCGCATCCTGTCAAAGACGTGACACCCAGCACGCACAGTCTACCCGGTGGCCGCGCCCCCTGTCTACTTTTTCTCATTTGTATGCGCAAACGTCATCAAGGAAGGGGAGGAGGGAGGGAGCGTGAAGGATGTTTAAATTGCAATCCAAGCCTTTCCCCCAGCGGTACCCCTTCTGCGGGAGAATTGCGACAGCAACCAAGGCAGCGCTACGAGAAGCATTCCAGCCTTTACACCGAAGCATAAACGGTAAGACAAATTAAAAATCTACTGTATAAACCAGCTCGTGTTTTTAAACGGTCGTAAAAGTAAAGGTGATTTCCGGGAATATCACGTTTATTTCAACCGGGAAAGGATGTGATACACTTGCTTACATGATTGCATGTCATATTTATCTATCTATCTATAATATATGTAACACTGTTATGCTTCTTGTGATTTTTTTTTGTGGGGCCTGTTATATACTTTACTATACTATATTACAACACGATGCGTTAACATGACTTGGATGCGGTACCTACGAAGTCTCGTCAGGATCATAAAGTGAATTCCCACTTGTTGCCGACAATGTATGTATAAATGATATCCACTTTCGACGTTTATATTATTTACCCTGCCATCCTAGAGGGTCTTAACACAAGATTAAACCGACTGCATCGCCACAGAGGGTCATTGCGTGTTGCAGTGTTACACGTCCAGTAAAAGTGTAAAATGGAGGCGCCCCTCCTCCTTCTCTCCCCTGGCAGTGGTCTCCCATCTTGAAATTCCCGTTTGACCAAATGCATCTAATGCACAATATAGAGACCCGTATCATAAAACTGGACGCTAAAAACACGACATGCTGAATTTAAATGTGAATTGTTCCACCGATTTGGTATCGAAGAGATGCTGGGAATTTCTATACCAAGACAACCGTCATAACATTGTTAAAATAAAAAACATCCAAAGCTAAACATTGTAACACATTTAAAGGTAGAATTCATTGCCCATCTCATCTATTGGATGTCATTAGCTTGCACGTGTACCAGTGGTCAACATTACAGTTGAAGAATGCCAAGTGGAAAGTTTGTCTGTCATGTTAGTGACATGCTGTGTTTCTGTCTGTCTATAAATGCTGCGTGTTTCTTTGACCGCCAGTTGGCCAGTGATAGGAAAAATGCCAAAAAGCCCACCCTGGTATGCGATGATAGCTGTTTTTGTGTAATGGTTTCCTTTTTTGTATGTATGCATGTCTTTCATGAATTTACTTATTAATTTGTTGGAAGTCACATTCAGACATACTTCAAAGGGTGATAATGATTGATTGCCCGACATATTTCACCCAAAACGTATACGACAAAAGGTACTATTAAAAAAAGTCAGCTATCAGTGGCAGTGTACGTCTGTGCTGAAAGTGATTACAGTAAAAGTTTTTTTGTTGAAACCCAGCACACCTCTCACAGACAGAAAGGGCTGACATCCTTCCCACCACAGTATATCCTGCGATTGTGTGTGAACTCTCCACATTAGAGTGTAACCCTCCACATGCAACTGCTTGTAAGTAGTGAACGCTCTAGGAACCATAAATAGTATTGTGTGTGTGACGTCAGCTGGGGATAGGCTGTGCTGCACGTACACATGATCCTCCACTGTCTCCCTCCACTCCTGAGAAATTACCGGTGTCTCTCTAGAGACGTTTCGAAGCAGGGAGGTCTTGTCCAGGCAGTGGTTGCTATGGAGATCTGGTGAAGTGAGACTCGGGAATCAATGAGAACGCTCAGCAAAAAAAAAAAAAAAAAAAAAAAAACTGGAAATATCTGTGGTAGCAAGTGACAGGTGTACACTGTTACAGTGACATTCATAACAATATGTTTATTATTGTGATTCATAGTTTGTAAACAGTCATACAGAGCGCTGTTACTCATATTTTGCCTTTGGCTTATCCTGAACGAGCCTTTTATTTGGATACAATCAAGCTGCCCATCTATTTTGTACAGAGTTTGTCCTCATTTGTGTCGTGGGTAAGCTTGGAGCCGATCCCATTCTGAAACATTCATCCATTTTCTACAGCGCTTGTCCGCATTAATATAGCGAGTGAGCTGACTCCGGCTGAGAGGGAGGCTCCACCCTCCATTGGTAGCCAGACAATAGCAGGGCACAGTTTGACGAACAAGTTAGTGTTTACGCTCACATTGCACCAAGGAACAACTTCAGGGAAAACATATACTCTACACACAAAAAGGCCTGAAATCGAACATGCTAACCACCAGGCCTCTGTGCTGCTCACGCTGTTGTTCTAAACCACTGGCAACATGCTACAGTAATGAACAATTAAGATATAGAACATGTCCCGAAATAATTTAAACCCCCTTGTTTGCGTTTCAGCACCACCTACTGTATGTCCATTTGGCTGCCATTTAGCAGATCCATTCTCACTTTTCTTTCCACAGATGGCCACCAAAGACAAACTGATCACCCAAGTGCTGAAGGAGGAGCCAGGGAGCAGCAGGAACAAGGTGACGGTGGTGGGCGTCGGCATGGTGGGCATGGCCACAGCCATGAGTGTTTTGCTCAAGGTAAGAGACAAAAAAAAAAAACAGCAAGACAGGAATGTGTGCAGTGAGCATCTGATTGTGAATATAACACTATTGATGATGTGCTTTGCAGTGGTGTTGACTTGCAATACCTGATTATGTTTTTAAGTCAGAAGATTAATATTGCAAGCATGTCTTGGTGTCATACAATGCAGCGATACACCAAGGCAAACAAAAAACACAACAGTAGAATAGAGATACTGGTTGCATTATAGTTCCTGTTTACTACCGGTTATATGGAATGGGCTACTTTTGTTTGACTTGTAGTTTATGCCATTGCCAATTGTCTGGTGTCTAGTCAGCCATATGCACACAGTATGGATTGGCCTCTCACTCTCTGTTTGCTGAATCGGTGCCAGCGGTGGAATAATGGAGCCACTGTGGATGATGGCCCTTGCTTTCGAAAAGCAAAAGCTGGGCAGCATGAAAATGTGTGATGTGGCTCTTGGGCTTTCCAATTCCTCTTTTGGAATTTTAAGTGGGTCTCTCTGTAATTTAGATAATGGATAGCGCACCCTCTAGAGCAGTGAAGCCTTTCTTGAGCCATGGCACACCACTCTACAAAAAATATATACATGTCCACTAGGGATGTGACGATAACGGCAATACTGCAATAATAAAATTGCTCCAGTATTGTCGCTGCGTTAAGGTCAGAGCAGCACACCTCCATTAAAAAAACATTACTTATCGCCCACTTCAGCTGGGCACAGCATTGTGAAATACATAAACCGTAATACTGTACTTTGTGCTAATAGACAATATGACTAGCCAAGCCTATTCTTTGTCACTGACGTTAATATGTACAAAAACACAATATTGTGCTCTTTTTTTCAATCTTACGTGCTTATTTTTTTTTTACAATATCATGAGTCTTTATACAGTATCATGAATTTTTTTTATATAGGATCTTTGTGATGAGCTGGCGCTGGTGGACGTGATGGAGGACAAACTGAAAGGCGAAGCGTTGGACCTGCAACACGGCTCCTTCTTCCTGAAAGCGCACAAGATTGTGGGGGACAAAGGTGAAAAGAGGACAACAAACCAAATGGACGAGAACAACAACTATCTGGCAATCTATAAATTGGCATGTATGTGTTTGAATTCTCCAGACTACTGCGTGACTGCCGGGTCCAGGGTGGTCGTGGTGACTGCCGGCGCGCGTCAGCAGGAGGGAGAGAGTCGCCTCAATCTGGTGCAGCGCAACGTCAACATCTTCAAGTTTATCATCCCCAACATTGTCAAGTACAGCCCCAACTGTATCCTGATGGTTGTCTCGAACCCAGGTAAGGAAGGACACTTGAAAGACACTATTCATTCCCATCCGGAGCAATAGATAGTGTGGCTTGATCCTTCTCAGCACTATATGCATTTGCACTTCATTGAAAAAAAAACTGTGCTACCAGGACCATTTAATATAGGATGTGTACACCACTTAAGGCAGCGATGTCAAACTCATTTTTGTTGTGGGCCACATTGTAGTTATTATTTCCCTTGGAGGGCCATTAGGACTGTGAAACCATATCAAGTCAAGAATAATGGTTTATTCGACTTTTGTCTAAGTTACTGTAATGAGCGGTTTGGTCACAAGAAAATGCTTACAATGTCTCTGTTGTTGATTACATTTGCAAATTTGAAATTTTGGTACAGATGTTGGTACAAGCGTCATGAAAGTTGACATGTTTGATTTGCTTTTGCAAATCTTCCCACATTCTTAAAACCGCCGAGTCAAAGGTAACCCGAATTGGGAGAAATAGTTAAGCCGATGCTGGGTCCATGGATGGGCCATCCACCACCCTGACTGGGATTTGGATCTTGAATCCCCATGTTGAAAGTCAACCGTGTTAACCACTCAGCCATCCAAGTCAGAAAAGTTTCCATTTAAAATGACTTGTGTTTTGTGTCATGTTTGTGATCTGCTTTTTTTTTTTTTCTACAAATTTAAACAACTGAATTCGCCAGGGGTTGTACCCAGTCGACTCATCCTATTGTCCCTTTTTCCCCTCTCAGTGGACATCTTGACCTATGTTGCTTGGAAGCTGAGCGGTTTCCCCCGTCACCGCGTCATCGGCTCTGGAACCAACTTGGACACGGCCCGCTTCCGTCACCTCATGGGAGAGAAACTATCCCTCCACCCTTCAAGCTGCCACGGCTGGATCATCGGAGAGCACGGGGACTCCAGTGGTATGTGGCTCCTCACTATAAATAAAATGGGAGCCGATATACGGGTGCAGCTTAAATTTAGCATCCTGTGAGTGGCCAGAAATTAAATTTGACTTTATCTGAGCTATTTGGCCTCTCTTAGTGCCTGTGTGGAGTGGCGTGAACGTGGCCGGCGTCAGTCTTCAGGGCCTCAACCCTAAAATGGGGGCTGACGGAGATAGCGAAGACTGGAAGGCGGTGCATAGAATGGTGGTTGATGGGTGAGTACTTTTTGTCGCAACTCTGCAAAGCAACTCATTGTGTACTTGCATTCCGTTTCTCTGTGTGATAGCGGGAAAGTTGAATTGAAAGTCCACAAGTGAATTCAGTGTCACTGACTATCCCGAGTGAGGAATTTGAACATGGCGCAAAGCCAACAGGCAGGTAGTTGTACAGCGTAGCACTACTGTATATACTTATACCAGGGTTGGGCAAACATTTATACTCCAGGGCCACATTAGAGTTTTAAACTGACACATAGGCCAGGTCGTTCATTGATAAGGTAAAAAAAAAAGTGAATGTTTGTAAAATGCTTTGTAAATGATTGATGGCTGGTTTAAAGAAGAGAGTGGCTGTATTTTCCCCACCCCTATGTTAATACAGTCACGACTGTGTATCAGCACTTATATTGTACATAACAACTCAGTTCAACTTAATTTCTCTTACGGAGTAATTTAAAAGCAACAGCAGATGAAACAACGTGCTGTACGTAAAAATCAAATAGAAGACAGTTGAACATAACATAATTAACAAGCAATAAAACAGTCACAGTAGAAACAATAGAAAGAAATGGCGGAGTCTCATGCTGTGTTGAAAGTCAAGAAATAACATTTAGTTTTAAAGCAAGTTTGCCTCTTAATGTCATTGTTGTACTGAGGAGGGCTGGTCGGTGCAGACACGATGACATCGCCATTGTGTATTAAAGGCTTTCTGTTTGTCCTCCTGCCTTATGCCTGAGTGCCTGGATCCACTTTTTCATCATTTTATTTGGACAGTGAAAGGGCTTGTCCTATGTGCAGTGGGAGGTCAACAAACTCTATCCCCTCTGAGCTTCCGCTTAGACTTTAGTATCTCCACAAGAAACTGCAAACGTTCAGATTGCAGCAATAGGTTCGTTTTATGATGCAATGTCCAAACCTAAACGTGACTTTTCTGCCTCGCACATAGTGTTATTATGGCAGGACAATAGGCTTCCTGATCTGAGATTACAGGCAATAATACCTTATCAACATCACGTTATCAACACTGCTCATATGAAAAATGTCAGCATTTCAAAATGTACAAAATTGCGTCACATCCTGACAATGTGTGCGTGTGCTGCAGGGCCTATGAGGTGATCCGGCTGAAGGGTTATACTTCATGGGCCATCGGGATGTCTGTGGCTGACCTGGTGGCGAGCATTACCAAGAACATGCACAAAGTTCACCCCGTGTCCACACTCATCAAGGTAAAGGACACTTCATTAGGTACACAATCAAACAAGCTCTTCCACAAGAGCTGTTTTTGTTCACCCATTCAATCAATAAAAGGTGAGGCGACGGTCCTTGCATGGGCTCTTATAGGATTGTGAGAAATGAGTAATATGTCACAATTAATGCGTGTGTTGTTCGGCAGGGGATGTACGGCGTGCAAGAGGAGGTCTTCCTGAGCATCCCTTGCGTCCTGGGCAACACGGGCCTGTCGGACGTCGTCAACATGACCCTGAAGCCCGAGGAGCAGCAGCAGCTTGTGAAGAGCGCCGAGACACTGTGGGCCGTCCAGAAGGAGCTCGTTCTGTGAACAGTGCAGCGCCCCGTGGTCCGTGGCCACCTCGACCCCAAACTAAACGTCACAAAACACTGTGCATTAAGCCCAAGCGACTCCCTTGTATTTTCTGTGTCCCGCTGTGGCAAATGGCCTCCATGAAGACCTATGAAGTTGCAAAAAGTGGAAGTTACTTTCAGATATTAACCAAGACTAGGTGTCGTCTCCTCCCATCATTGTACGTCTAACCCGAAACACTCACAACTATTTAGCTGTTAGCATCAGCTTGTGTTGACATTTGGGAATGCTTGTCTAAAATCCTACAAGTACGCTGTTACTGTGCACTGTTATGGCTTCTTTCACACACTCCTTGTCTGCTTTGTGTAATGGTTGTAATATCTGTTTTTTTGTTCACGCTTCAGTATGTGTTTTTTTTTTGTTTTTTTGTAAGTCTGATGGAGACATTCCATTCTCAGTGGGGGCAGGCTTCCTGTCCAACTGATCTAATAGTAATCTAAGGTCTTCTCCACACATGACCACAAGTGCACCGATAAGTCGAGAGTCAATGGAAATTCACTTCGCTCCTTGTATGGTTGGGGATGCTACTGAATGGAAATGAACACATGTTGTTTGCACACCCTTAATCTTCTGGAAGAGAATTGTATTTATTTTTCTCCACATAAACTCTAAAGGACATTAACAAAGTGTAGTGGTGTTATTTCCTCAACACCCGTGACTGCAGATGATCGATATTTATTGTTTCAAGTATTATTTATCATACCGAATCACTGTATCTGGACATATTTTTATGTACTGCAGCATCAAATAAAGCCAAGATACGGAAACTAGACCCTCACTTCTCTGCCTGTTCACTTTAATTTGATTGATAACAAGTTTGTATGCCAGGGTAACAATAAAAAGTCCTGTTCACATAGTTCATGTTTTTTGCAGTATGACTAGCCAACTATGAAGTATGGTCATGACTGGAAAAATAATTTGAAGACTCTAAATTGTCTACTGGTGTGAATGACAATGTGAAAGCATGTCTCTATGTGCGCTACAAGAGCAATGAGGTCAAGCGCTATAGAACAGCGATTCCCAACCCAGGGTTGCCGGACAAAATTAATTTTATGAGATGTTATTGGGTGTGTTGTGTGAAATTATCCAATTTATTAACATAATTATTTAATTGACAAGAAATCTTCACCAAAGCCAGCGACATGGCAGGCAGAACATGTTTTTGTGACATTAGCAATTCAGTTTGAGTCGACTTAAATTCATAGAGCGTAGAAAGGCGTAGTCGCTGTGACCTGCTGAGGCGCAAATAAAAATCTTGTTGATTTGCCATCAAATCAGTCTTTAATTTGAACGGATTTACATAAATCTACAGATACAAAAGATGATCTATGGTTTAATTGGAAACAAATAATAACAGCAGATACTCTATGATACATTTCAAAGTGCATTTAGTAGAAGGCTAAGTTAAATGAGAGGTGTTGTCATAACTTAACATCTGATTAGTATAATAGGCTCTTCTGTACCCTATAACACTCAAAAACCTTTACAAAAATGGTTTATAGAGAGAGAACTAACTTCTCAGCAGAAACAAGAGTGGACAGCAAAAATAAAAAATAGTGAATATACTTTGTAAAAATGTCCTCAAGAGAGATACTGTACAGAGTAGAAGAGCTACTGTACACGATTGGTTAATGCAGCTGAACACTCAAATTTGAGGGCTAACCTGAGCAGCTGACACATACAATGAAAGTGGAAAGAGAAGCAAAACATGAGTGAGAAACAAAACAGGTTCATGGTTTAAAGCATATCCATAATAGAAAAAAAAAGCCTTCTGAATGTGGCTCAGGCTGCACACAGCACTAAATCAAGAGTCTTCTTAAGGTTAACCACTTTGGGTATTTATATCGGAGCTTAACCTTTTCATGACGTTGGGTGTCTCAACCGCGAGCCCCCGACATTTTGTGCTTACTCAACAAACAAGGCTGCCTGGCTAATAGATAGCCTCCAGTACACATACATCAATGGTGTCATTACGTGCGTGTTGGGGAAATCTCTCAAGCATTTGGTTTAATCCAGTTCACGACGACAAATCTTAGGAGTGTTTAAACAGCCTGGTGGTCCATAAAAGATGGGAAACGGCACAGGGGGAGAAGAAAGAGAACCACGGGGCCTGAAGACATGTCTGCGTCTCGCTCAGTAGAGGTCGCTGAGGCCGGCGGTCTTGCGGGCTTTCTGCATGAGGGCGCGGAGCTGGAACTGCTTTCTGGACAGAACGCGTACGTGCTGCAATAAGAGAGGAAAAGAATCAACACTGATAGACCTGTACACACAAAACACTGTGGACTATGTGTCAGTAATCTCCAAGTTGTGTTGAAATGGCCACCTTGAGAAAAACCTCCAGGTCTATGACCCCCCTGCGGAGGGCCTCTCCCAAATAGAAGATGGTGTCCTCGATGGCGTTCTCCTCAGCGTACAGGTTCAGGATCTGTTTGTACAGGGGGGCTGTCGGAACAATGATGTCATCGATGTCATTGTTCTCCGATTGGTTCTCCATTTTCTCCAGGGCCTCGGTCAGCTCCTCGTCCTTGCGCTTCAGCAACTCGATGTTCCTGTCGACGTCAGCCTGGTCCAAAAATATTTGGTTGGATGTTAGAACCGCCGACAGAACAGTATAGTGAAACCCCTTCCAGACCCACCCACTACAGGTGAAAATATGGAATGGTAAACTTTTCACAATGACGTCACGCGTCCATCTGGGTGGCAAGACTGACTTTTCCAAAGGCACCACCAAAACAAACTCTTCTGTGCCATTTGATCAAGGCAGAGCAATTGAGGAAACAGGATCAAAGGTCGTCCCCGTAATTTACATTTTAAAAAGCAAACTGATTCAATAATAGTTGCGTTCACAGACGCATCAATAATGACAGCGCATTTCTGGGATATATATTATATATACAAAAAATAAGATTACCACTTCCTGGTCCAATCGGGAGATCATGTCCTCCAGTTTCTGGTGGCCCTTCTTGAGGTCTTCTTCTGTTCGCTTGAGGGCATCCAACTCGGCCTGAGCCCTGTCCATTTCCTCTTTCATCCTCCAGCGAAGCTTGTCACTAACAGCTGAGATCAGCGAGGCACGGATCGTGTCTTCACCGATGGTGCCATCTCTGTTGGAACCTAAACAAAGTGGCACTCGTTTTAAACCAGTCCCGTTTACTTCAAATGTTTTCTTTCGCCTCCCTTTTTTTTCTCCACTGTGGTGTTCCATTGTCAGGGAAAAAAAAAGCCTTGATTAGTTAACATACTGCATGATATCCGTGCACCTCACAAGACCTCATTTCAAATGAAAAAGCCTATTTGGTGTTTTCATGTCATATTTTTCAACACATTTATCTTTGTATGGTATCCGGATTTAGAAGGACATTATGAAAAGAGAAGACAAATACAAATTGGAAACACATGAGATGTGGACTCCAAGCAGTGGATTTGCCCAGAAAAGATAAATACATTTGACTTAACAATTTTAGGAAAAAATGCTAAATCAACGACTTTTGCAAATGTAAAAACTGGTGGGCTGGTTTGAAGAAAGGAGGGGCCTTTTCTTTTTGCCTGTGAGAACATACTTGCCCCAACACCTCACATTTAGCCTCTTGTTTCTCTTCAATCTTCAACTTCTTTTTTTTTTTTTTCCCTGGTTGTCGGGATTTTTCAGGGGACTCATGATGCCTCTCACAGGTCAATTCCGGCACTATGCCAAGTCTGGCTTGGTCTATTCAAGTCCGCTTACACTTGAAATTTTTAACTTGTCACGTAGGTTCTTGTGATGGATTACTTTGATTTTTTCTTAAATAGATGGAAAAAAAAGGTGGGTTCCATCAACCCATTTATGAAAGCATGTGAAATATACATTCTTTCTCATACATTGTCAACACAATAGGACCCCACACACAAAGAATCATCCTAAATACAGACAGGTATCTTTGGAGTTAAAACTACAACATGTACAGTCCAGTTTTGAATCAGCACTACAAATGTCAGAGCTGATTCGCATTTCCCCTCCACGACTAAATATAGGAGACCACCAAAAGTCCTCCAGATGGCAGACAGTCCAATGGCGTTTCACTACTGCTTCCAAACAGCTGATCACAGGTCAGTCTTTGTGTGGAGTTACTGTGACCTCCGCAAATATTGCGCACATAAGCAGAGAGGACTCGCTTCCTTCGACTCCAGGCTCACACTGTGCGTCCCGTTGGCCTTTCTTGCTCCCAACTCTAGTTACATCAGATGACCTTTAGTTGTCGGTTCAGCATGCCACCAAAGTCAGGCTCAGGGTGAGAGGGTTTCACTAAGAAGGTCACATGCCTGAATTGCACTTAACTCCACAGAAGGATGGAGAAGCGTCATTTCATTTGATCGGTGTCATCATAAATCATTTAGAGTCCCCTCCCAAGCGTAAGACATGAAATTAACTCCACCCTGCTTCACAGATGAACTTGTGTGTTTTGGACCACAGTGGAGTTTGCAAAGAACTATCGAGGTGAGCCACAAACATTTTGGAACAAAGACATAACTTCTACCAAAGTGATGGAAAGGCCCAAGTCTGGAGAGTGAAAGGATTTGCTTTATGATCCCAAACACACAAGCTCATCTGTGAAGCACAAAGTATACAGTCAAGGCCTGGGCTAGCACGGCTGCTTCTGGGAACATAGTCAACTCACCCGTTTTGAGGATTTAACTCACGATGGTAACAGCAAAATGGATTCTGAAGTTTACAAAAGCATGTCTGTCAATTAACAAAAAAATGCATCCAAACTAATCTGAATTAACTTCATCATGCCACAAGAAAATGGCCCAAAACGCACTGCCAACAGACCAAAGGACTTCATGGTGGGGTGGGGGGCGGGTGGAAGGTGATGCAGTTGTTGCAATTAAGGGTTATGCCACCAGACATTAAATGTTATTCACTTTAAGTTAAACCTTTATAACCTTTGCTTGCCTTTTGTCAATCTGTTATTGTATGTTCAATAAAATGTTCAATCAAAATCAATCAATCAACTTAATAATGCTTGTTCTAATACTTTTGCCCCCGGGTAGTAGGACTGATGGTTAACTCCGCATACTGGTGGAAATGTAAATGTGTGTTTTACCTTGTAATCACTTATATGCCATTTTAATAATCGATTGCTCAGTCAAAAAGAAGCTTTTATATGATTTTATATCAGAGTTGTGGAGCATTGCATTACGATCATGCTGAAGATATAAGGTCTTTGATTTAAGACGGAGTTCTATTCCAAGATGCCTAGTACTACGCTAAGACATTAAGTCAGAATTACAATAGCTAAACTCGGGAAGGAGGTTTGGGACTCCTCTCAGCAAATTAAACCGATATAAAGACTCAATCATACCGCCGGTTATCAGCTTAATTCACAAACAATTAGAGGGAGGTAGACAGACACGCAGGAGGACATGAGGGCAGTGTGGGGTGTGCATATGCCTGTAATTTATTGTCCAATGTATGTTGTGTACGTGGTATGTATTGCCCAATGCATGTAGCAGCACAGAGGGCCTGTCCTCCAAGAAAAGTTTCTCCTACGGGAGACCAAATAAAGGTCAAATTCACTTCAATATTTACATTAAAACCTAAACCAACTATATAAAATAATTAAACAACAAAAATATGGCAGAACATGGGTGCGCTTCTTGTACCATGTTACGACATTCTTACGACTGCACAAAGAAACACATTGCGTGTCGTTCGTAATGTATGTTGGTGAAGACATATACTCAGCACCCGTTGTAGGTTCGAGTACATCAACACTATTGTCATAATGAAAAATTTGTATGTTGTTGAATTTGACATAAAAAAAAAAAAAAAAAAAAAAAAATTAGAATCTTTATTGTCATTACACAGTATACTATGTGTGTCTTCATGAGAGATGTTAGACCTAATACATACCCACTGTGGAAACGGGAGTCTGGGCGGGGTAGTGTGTCGGACCAGAAGTAGCTGGGTAAGAGTTGCCCCCTGGGTACTGGTAACCTGGGTAGCCTCTGCAAAGGAAATATAAATAACGCTTAGTAATCATACTGGGGCATTTTGTAACATTGGATACAACATACATGACAACATACATGGTGAGAAGTAATAAAGCAGCTCCTGCCACAGAGCACGCTTGTCACACAAAACTAGTGTTTGCCCATGATTGTGAAACATCTTACCCCGCATTAGGACTTGGGCCATAAGGTGAAACTGCAGGCATGCCAGGTACGTAAGAAGCTGATGTAAGAGGAAGAGTACACACAATTACATCATCCGAGTGTCTGCTTTTTAATACAGTACTTCTTCATAGTGCACTGCTATAGGAGTAGGGCGCCACCTGGTGTTAAACTGGGTAGCAAAATACAGTCGCCACTCACGATTAGGAGGTCCAGCAGCTTGGAAAGCCTGATATGGTGCTTGTGTGGTTGGGCGAGAAAACACTGGTGGCTCTTCTCCGAACACTACGATCATAATCTGTATGAGACCATACAGGTCTGAGTGAGGCTGGAAAAAAAAAAGGAGGTGGTGAAAAAAATCATCCAAAAAAAAAAAAAAAAAGCATTTAGCATTGTTTAATAACAAGAACAAAGATCCAGCAAGTAATATCAGTTACATAAACAGGGTACCTGCATTTTGAAAGAACATAACGTAAGACTTGTTGGAAACACAAATTTAAGATTTAAATGAGGAGTACGGCCTTGATTATTGAAAATCCAAATTCAGACTTTTTTAGGCTCTGAGGAGACCCTGACAGCATGACGTTTACAACTCTTCCACAAAAACACTAAATGCCATTTCCTCACTACCGTAGTTGAACTATTTCATATACAGTAATGCAAATCTCTGTAGTATCTTGTGTGCAGGCAACACTGCATAATGAAGCCATCATTCTGAAGCTGTTTTGTTGCATGTACACAGATGACAATGTGTGTCAACACAACCATTTATTGGCCATCTACCTCAATTTTATGTTTCCATCAAAACAACGGTAGTTGTCCAATAAAGCCAGAATTCCAACCCTCGTGGCTAAACAAAGTGTGCAGATGAGGCCTCTATTGCTAACAGACTTACATGCTTCCACTCATGTAGATAGGGTAGGTAGATTTTTCCATTGGCATCAATATGTTTACCAGTTTTGATCATCATGGTGCTGGTTGGTTTAACAAAACAAATTGGTGGGTTGAAGGGATACGTGTCCAGCAACCAAAGACACACTGGGATGTTGTAGACGTTGCCTAAGCGGAAACACACATACATTACCAAATGCAGGCATATATTGATCTACCATCTCCTCTAAACGACATACTAAAAGCCATTTTTCTCATTTGTTAACATGCAGTGCGCCAGCATAAAGCTGACAAATGTTTAAGTGACTGGCATAGGATGCTCTTCAAATGACTGAACAGAATAATGAATCACAATTTTAACATTGATGTCCAAAACACTCATAAGAACATTGTAGGTACCTCTATAGCTTACAGGGACTGTTCCTGTTAAACTCATCAGGTCCCTTGTAGAGCCATCGTTGAACACTGAAAAGCAAGTTGAGCCGGTGAGGAAAAGACAAACTAATCTGATATATTATGGTATTGCACAGAGGTGCCCAACCAGTCGATTGCGATCGACCAGTAGCCCATGAACTGGTCCCAAGTTGATCGCTGGGGGTCTAGGGGAAAATAGATTTTTTTTTTTTTTTTTTAAATGTGTGTCTGTGTGCTTGTGATTAATATTCTATATCGTTGTGTTCGTGCACATTGCACCCTAAGCTTCCTCTCAGTTTCACTTTCACAAAAAAAATAATAAATAAATAAAATAAATATTTATAAAATAAAATAGTACACTATAACAAAGCAGGTCACCTTTAACCTACGGCGGCGCGTAACCTGCATCACAGGAAGTTGTTAGCTGCCAGCAGTCTGCACTTGCAGCTTGCGATTAGAGCTGTTGCCATCTATCTTTTTTATTTTTATTATTCTCATTCAAAGTTTGTTTCATGTGCATTTCATCGATGGTACTGGCAAACAATGGGAATTTGAAATGCCAGGAGAACATTTTTAAAACGCGGGTGTGCGCTACGATAGTGACGTTGCTGCACTGAAGACGCTGCCAAAGTGCCTCCCATGCCACAGCGTCAGATCTTGACTAAAGTAGGCACTGATTCCTTTTTACAAACTCAAAAGCTCTTGTATGCACTTTATTTTTCTGTTTCGTTCGTGTTCTGGGCCCTGATGGCTGTTGCTCATCATGGCATGCGTGTGTGGACACGTGCACATGCAGCAGCGGGTCGATCGCGAGAGGTCGGTTACTTGAAAAGTCGATCTTCAGTCACAAAAATGTTGGGCACCCCTGGTATATAACATATTGAGTCACCCAAAAATGAAGTACAGTGGATGGAACCTTTAATGGCAAACAACACTGAGGTTGTACAATTTGGATTTTGGACTCACAGTGGAGCGTGTGCAACTTTCGGCTTGTGTTTGAATGTACAGGTTCCTATGAATATAAGGATTGAAAAGAATATACTATTACCATAGCCATCCATTACGGGCTTCAGGTCTTTGTAATGAGAGATGACGTTGGTGATTTCTCGAACAGACAGGTCCCTGTATTTGTATTGCTGGAATATAACAAAAAATAGAGAAGAGTGATACAATGAATGTATTCCCAAATTTGTATATTAACAGAAACGCCTCGAGCTAAGAAGAAAGGTTTGACAAGTTAGTCATCCGTTTATTGTATTGGGAAATCTGTATTTCCTACAGTGTTTAAACAATCTGAGCTTGCTTAACAAAAGCGAGGCGTATTTGTTTTGGACGCAAAGGAATGAGGCTGGAAATACAACGTTCACCAACCGATTTCTAAATGATTAGTTATGTAAGAATACTGATGACGAGTAAAAAAAAAATGCATAACATATTTCAGTGCACAATAGCACACAAATCTTAACTGCACACTAGTTCCTTACAACGTAGTTCAGACGGAGCAAGCCGAAGAGAGGGTTAAAAAGTTTGAAAAATTCCTTTAGTGTTTTAAATGGTTATGCTAAATAATGTTAGCACATCGGAAAATACACGTAGCAATGTCAACAGCATATACTGACGACACTGATCAAATGAGTGAGTACAGACAACTTAGAACACGTTTCGCTAAAAGGCAATTTGCCAAACCAGGAAATAGCAAATCTACTGTGCTGTCATGTTACGTTTCGTCTATGTTAGCTATCATGCTAACAACTTACGATACCCAGCAAGACTGGTTTTACCTTCAACATTTTCTTCAAGGCGACTTCGTTGACAACCGCCATTGTTTCCTAGTTGGATGTCTTTCAGGAAAATTGAGTATAATGTGGGACAATGAGACAATATGAAGCTCGCTAGCAAGAATTCCGTAAATGCTAGGCTAAGGTTAGCACAGCCGTGAGTCGGACTACGCACACAAAAATAAGGCTATTTTGAAATAAAACGTTCAGCTGAACACAGTTTATGATGGTCTTGTTAGCTTAGATCGAAGCAGTACACGTACGGCTAATGGTAAACTGACTGCTCGGTACAAACGACATATGCCTTAACACACAAATATAAGACTAACAACAAATCGAATTTCCGGTACTATTCCTGACATTTCCGGGAAAATCAATGACGTAAGAGTTTAGTTAAAAACTTTATTTGCAACACATTTGATACATCGTTAACTGTTAGGAAATACACAACAGAAATTAAGTGAACCAGGAATCATAACTTCTAACGCTGCACTTGTAATGACATACTGTCATTTTAGTAGAGCATTTTTGTTTTAATTTCAAGTTTACATTTTTAACATTTTAGCATTTACACATAAAATTTGCTTTTGTCTTGAATATCCATTTAACAAACAAACAACAACACTAACAACAGTTGAGAAACAGAGAAAAAAATAACCTAAATTTTGAATACTGTGAACCCCATTAATGATTTTTTTTCTGGACCACACAAATGGCCTTTTTCGTGGTTGCGGGTGGGGGGTCCATAATAACACAACCCAGAGAAATGAAAATAAAACCAGAGTGATTAAGTTATTTACGATCCTACTGGAGAATGAGAAATGACTTTTTTGTTTGTTTGTTTTGTCTACACCCACTGGTGCAAAATTCTAAATCAAAGTACAGTTCGGATGTTTCATGTGGGGAGGGGAATGGGGGGTGGGGGAGTAGACATTTATTTACAAAAATCACAGGTTAGAAGTCATGTGTGATGTTGACTATGTTAATGTATGTGTATATAGGCCATACATGTCAATGTTGCTAAAATTTACATTGTAAATCATTTATAAAATGAAAAAAAATGTGACATGAATCAAACATCAATACAGTAACCAATCATGTTGATGTGATACCGTGCACAATATATGTTTTGCAAGTGAGAAACAGTATTGAAATCAACTAACAGCTGGTTTCATTTCCTTGAGGAACAGATTGGCCATCTTCTGTTGATAAAGTCAAATACAAACTACCGTCCGGCCGAGAAAGCACCTGTGACTGCTTGTGGAACTGCAGCGAACCTAAAAAAGGTATTGAGGACAGGTAAGTCCAAAGTTTACTGATACAATCATACACAATCTCACACTTGATCAGACATGCCCCAGTTATTGCTTTGCGGACTGTTTGTCTAGGACACAGAAAAAACATTTGGTTGCCTTTCTTAACTTGATTAGTTTTTTTTCTTATTCGCTACAAACTTATTACAAGACGTGAAAATGTTGTTTGTTTTTTTGTGAACATATTGACATGTTGAGGCTGGTTAGTGTACAAAGTGTGTCAGAAAGGTTTCAGGACTGGTGTCACAAAAGATATACTGTACAGTATTTCATATCTTAAGCTACAAACTACACATCTTTCTCTTTGAAGTCATCTCCCTGGAGTTGAATACACTTTCCAGAGCAATAAGCATGTTTTAGGATGTGGGAGCAAGCATGAGTACATGGAGAAAAACCACCCACCGTATGCATCAGGAAAAGTTCAAGATTCAAACACAGAGGGGCTCTATTTTCATATCTAGTGCAACGTTGAGCATGGTGCACTGAACTCTGCGTGGAGGCGGGCAAGACAAATTTTTGGTATTGGGTCTGTGTGCCACCTTGACCCCCGGATGTTTGCAGAGAGCAGAATCTGTTAAATTCACCAAAACTGCATTATATACTTCCTGTGGTAATAGTTCGAGATGTGGTTCTAGCGGGCGTAGAGTTTAGTCTACTTTGAACGGCCAAATTGCCAAGTGTACTGGGAGCATGTCAAAGGAAACAACCTCAGTACGCCAGAGCGCCCACTTAGGTGAAGAGTGGTCTGCCAAATTCTCAAGCAGGCAAAATAAGGCTTGCACTGACATGGAAATCAAGATGCGGGAGTTCTTACGCTCAAGCGCATCTGCGCCATCTACGAATATAGAGCCCAGAATGTTGTTGTGATGCAGACACGAAAACTACGGTACTAGGTCACTGTGCTGTACCTCTGCCCCCGAGAAGAGGAAACACAGCGAAGTAATGGTCCTGACTCCTGGTTTTATCTTTCTGGTTGTCATGCATTTTTGCTCAGACACACCATATATGTTATGTGATATTTACTTACAGGATGCTTGTGCAGGCTGCGGATGAGGCTGCATGCAGATGGGAGGGAGGTCTCCAAACGTGGCAACCATCACCTGCAGGAGGCTCACCAGGTCACACTTCCCCTGAGTGAGCCATGGAAGAGTCAGTGTATGTTATGCATAGCTGTCAATCTCTTGCATCTGCTGCTCACCTGCTTCCACTCCTGCAAGTATGGCAGCAGGATGTCACCATTGCTGGAGACGTAGTTTCCCTGCAGGATCATCATCTCCCACGTGGGCTTGACATAGCAGATGGGGGCCGACTGAGGGTAGCTCTCCTCAAGCCACACACATATGGGGATGTTGTAACTCATATCTAACATAGAGTCAAATACAGTGAGAATATTTGTAAACACTTGTGAAATACTTAGTTGTGTAGACGGAACAATTGCCCCTCATATAAAATGTTAAATCATTACCTTTAAAAAGGATGGGGATAGTTCCTGTAAGACTCATCAAGACCTTTGTGGTTCCGTCATTGTAAGCTGTACAAAACAAACATGACTGTTGAGTACTTTTTATAAGCCACAATTATCAAAAATTATATATATTTTTTTGTGAGCTTCTTACTGTATTTATCCATCAACGGAACAAGGTCTTTGAAATGGATCAGTGCAACATGTATTTCTCGGGCCACGTGGTTACGAAGGTATGTCTATGCAATGGAAGTGAACATACACACAACACCCAAATGGCTATTACACACTGAAAAAAAAAATCTTTGGATTTATTTAATTTGAACATGTACATCGGTTGCACAGGATTCAAGTGTGCAATCGTTTTCTTGTGTTTAAAAAAAAAATACACAAATGATCTGTAATAGTTGAACACATTTTAATCACGTCCAACCGAAAATCAAGCAATTTTTTTTTCTTTTCAGTTCAGTTAAGCGATAATATGTTAATATGAGGATCAGTATCTAACATATAATATCTATTTATGTTCAGATGTATACATACATACAATATATTATATTCCCTTACCTTCGGCAGCATTTTCTTTATGGCGTTATTGCAGGACGTCATAATTGTTGTGTCTATCTAAAACCAGAAATTTGTCTTTCCTTTTAAGATCACCAACACTCACTAACGTTTGAGGGGGGGGGGGGTTTCCGTGTATTTATGGACAAGCACACAACTTTATGACCCCCTAAAAGCCAATAAGAGAGCGGCATCATGATAGCACAATCACGTGACTTCCAAACCATCATATAATAATTAGGCTACATGGCTCAAACAAACATCTTGCTTCTGTGACCCATTAAATGAACACATATTTTGTTACATGACACGCCTGTTGTCGGCAAACAGACATGCATTTTAAATCATCTGTTTTTAACAACTTATGAACAATTGTGGGTAAACTCCTAATTCTACACAAACTTCAAAATGATAAATTAGTTGCGCACTCAAGTTGTTCCCAGCATGTCATCTATTTTTCCCGCTTTGGCTTTTGAGTGCACTGTAATTCTGAAACCACTCATCAGTGACTTAATGACACAGGCATTTGTCATTCTTATTTATTTGGATGGTAGTTTTGTTCTCAGAGTTACACTACTGTATGCAATGAAGTTTTTAAATTTGAATATTCATTCATATATAGAAGTGTGTCGATGCACTAGTACCGTGCGTCGTCCTTAAGTACAAAACTCAAGAGCAAATAGCTATACACAACAGCAAAATTAATACCCACACGGGTATACTGACCAATAGTATAGATTTGTGAAAAAATATAAAATGTACCAGATTTTTACAAAGGAGGTTTCTGCCCCACGCCAGCGAGGAGATGGAATGTGAAAGGCTTTGATAAACTGAAACTCTTTGGCTTGGCCTGTAAAAGTGGATTGTAATAACGTGGCTTCCTTGTGAAACAACAAAAAGCCGTCTGTAATCGCTTAGAATTACGTTAAGTGTGATGTTAAGTGTGTCAAGTCATTTTGTCATTAAAAAAATTGTGCCTGTGGTGTTTTGTTTTACTCTGCAAAAGCAGTCAGTATACTGGCAGCATGGTGGTCGCCTGGTTAGCACGCTCAGCGACTGGTTATATCACGTTAGGCAACTGGTTAGCATGTCTGGCGACTGGTTAGCACGTCCACCTTTTCTCCGGGTACTCTGATTTCCTCCTACATTCCAAAAACATACATCGCAGGTTATTGGAACACTCTAAATTGTACCTTTGTGTGATTGTGAGGGCGAATGATTTTTTTGTCTCTGTGTGTGCCCTGCGATTGGCTGGCAACCAGTTCAGGGTGTACCCCACCCACTGCCCGAAGACAGCTGGGATAGGCTCCAGCACGCCCCCGACCCTCATGAGGATAAGCAGGTTAAAAAAATGGATGAATGGATGGTCAGTCAGTTATTAGTCAATTATTTTGATCTGAGCCGACGCTCCGGCTCTTGCCTGTAGGTAGCAGCAAATTGCAGATGCAATTGTACATGTTAAAGGAGCACACAATACAATGAAAATACCACATCATGTATGTCTTAACATCTTTATTCCTGCCCCGCAAAACATTTGACACCTTTTTTTTTAAAGAGTACATACATCTTAAATAGCTAAACAGCTAACATTTTTACAAATTCCAACCACACTTTCATTCAGTAGTGTTCAAGGGAAAGAGAGAAGCCCTTGAGACAACCTCGACAGGTCTGTACAGTCTTTTCGTGACATGTATACTTGGGGTTTACTGGCTAAGTATTCATGCGGCAACAATATGAGACATTCTCAGACGCTGAGGATTTATGCATAGATTTGTGGAGTTGTGACATTATTATGGATTTGATACATAAAGTTTGATAAGGAGACAACAAGCATTTCGGGCATCACAAACTTTCCATCAAAGTGTTTCAGTCTAACAGTTGGAACCAAATGAATATGAAACAGTTTTAGATGAATACTTTAAAAAGTCACATTCACAGTTCAGTCCATTCATTCGAGCAAAGAATGAATAGTTAATAGTTACTTAGCTTTCACACTACAACCACTACTACATGGTTGTTCTTGCGATTTATGACTTGTCATGTGTAGGAAGGGAAACAAGGGCCCTCACCTTCACAGTAAATCAAAAACAGGTTTATGTTTACATGGGATGTGAGTGAGATTCATAAAGAAAGATAGTCACGAAATATAACGAATTGAGCAAGAGCGAGGCAATTTGGCTTTTATTGGCTATATACTGCCAAAAAAAAACCTCGTTCTTTTCGACACACTTCAATAGGTTGCTGTTTGACCTTCAATTTCTGTACAGCACACATCTAAACCCAACATGCTTTTTCTGTAGTTGCACACAAAGTAAACTACAGACGGAACTTCTCATGTGCACACATAAGAAGCTGCAAAGTACAAACGGTAAGAGCAGTCTTTTGAATAAGGTAGCAAATGAATGCAGCAGTAGAGAACACAAGCGAGTCAGCACTCAGAAACACAGCCCCCTGATCCAGCATCCATGACACATGTTAATCACTCACAGACATGTACAGTACACATATGGTTCTTGAGGGTAGTGAGGTGTGTGGGAAATGTAAGCATTCCGAGGCATGTTTAAGTGTGTGTTACACTCTGCAAAAGATGACACTTCTTGAAAAACTCTGTTATGAGGTGATGGAGTACATGGAACAATGATAGCAAGTTGTTTTCGAAATAAATTGTATCTCTACAGGGTTTCCCCCAGTGCTGTATTACTTGCCCCTCACCCAGGATATGGCGGGGCTCTAAGGCGTGCCAAATTTGCGTGCGCGGCCATCCAAATGTCATGATGGAGCAACGGAAAATAATTTTGTGTTGTACATGTACAACCAGCCACCGTCTCCTTGACTTTTACCTCTACTGCTGGTTACTACAATCGTGTGGACTTGTTTGACATGGATTTGCAGTACAAATTGACGAGTTCTGGTGACTTGTTACCGCACTTTCAACATCCCGGACGAGACAGTGCAACCAGCGGGACTACCGTGGATTGTTCTCGAGTCTGGCAGGTACCGTAGTGGGCCTGCTCAGATGGGTTATGGCGAGGCTAAGATGAATACTACCCACTCATAGTCTGCTACTGAGTCTCCCTACCTCTGACACTAGATCCAGATCACACAAAATGGGTGATCTGAAACTACAATTTGTGGTAAATGGATACATTTGGGCCAGTCTGATTTTTATTAATCACAACCTGGCTACATGACTCAGATTCTCCACGCTTCAGTGCAAGCGTACTTGAGGCTAACTGTGGCACAGAGTTAAGTTTCATTGCCAGATTATGATGTCCAATAATGCGCAGACTACAACTAAGGCCAAACAATAAAGATAGTGTGTTTCCGGTAACATGAAATTTCAGCATAGGGTCGGTAGGTCGGACAAAGTTTTTTTTTTTTTTAATCTTTTTTTTTTCCATCAAAAATTTCAACAAAATAACCATAAAACATAAAACATTCTGACTGTTTCAAAACTCAAAACCTGTTAGTATCGCTTTGGCACACGAGACACAACTTGCTGGTAACAAGTAGAATTATTTCAACAAACAGGCACAATTCTCATTTTAACACAGTCGCTACATAATGGTAACACAGTTTTGTAACGTTTGGTTGGGTCAGGATCAGTTTCTGCATCTCCATTTCCACAATTGCTGCAGATATCCATCCTCCACAATTTGGAACTGTAATATGGTATCTCAATTGAAAAAAAATGCCGACCGTAAAGTTTTTTTTTCGACGTAGAAATTCTCTGTCGGTCGGGTTACCGGAAACACACTACTTTTTTTACTACGCCTAATGACAATTTCATTGCACGCTTGCGACCCTATGGAGGATATGTGGTTCAGAGAATGGATGGATGGATAGCAAATGCTGTGGCACTGCACTTTGTCATTAGTGTCATAATATAAGTAATATTTATTAGGATACAAACAGCCATGGCTCGTTCAAGTGTAACTATGGTGGGTGAGATCTTTAATCATTTGTTTTTGTTTTGCATGGCCAAATGGAAAATGGCTAAAATGTTTGACGTCCTGCATTTATTTAAACATGTGTGTGAGAGTTGAAAGATAATTGCGCTTAAAATTGATGCACTTTAATTATTTTTGCATATCAGCGGCTTTGAAAAAAAAAACAACAAACAAACAATACTAATGTTTATCATTAACGTTTTTAAGTAAATATATCGTCCAGGAAACAAAGTATCGTGACAGGCCTACCAACAAATAATGTAAATACAGTACACTGACTAAAATGTAAAAATCTATTATGAAGCCGGCAGGCTTCTCTACCATCAGGCTTAGTTTTCTATTTTCTGGGGGAAACCCTGCTCTACCTAAAACCTGTGAAACTGCAAGCATAGCATGTTGTTCCTCTCATATAGCAAATACCTCCCCAACTGTATACCCTTGCTAACAGTGCAATGTAAATTGGACAGATATGAATCCGAGGATACCAGCACCAATATACTGTACAGTAACTCTTGCTGTTATTAAGATACTTTGCTACTATTACTATGATTATTATCATCATTATTGTTCCACAAAGACCACTCTTAGCAAAGAATGTAAGGCAGCTGCATTCAGAACCTGTGTGGGTTAGGGGTGTGCAACTCTGCAATAAAAGACGAGTCGGTACCTATCTTGATAAACAGGGGTCAATACAATTCAAGAACGACCTGAAGTGGAACAACTTGATTTGGTTCAATTCAGTGGGATTAGAACTGGATTCGTTATGGTACGACTGAGGTCGAGAGGGTATGATACAATGAGCTTCTTGTTGTAATTTTACAATATGAATGAACTTGTCAGTAGATTAGTGTAAATGTCTACTTTCTTTCAAAGATAAAGCTCTCCAATAAGAGATGATTCAATAAGTATCTCTACATTTCAAAGTAGAACGATTCAATTCGGTCTGATTCGATGCACTCACACACTCACAACTTTAACTCAAATGTTTTTGTTTTTGTTTTTTTTGGTAATACCCCTAGTATAAGCAAGTCATGTTTTAACTCAATCGAGCTCAGTGAATTTCTAATCATCCACCCACAAAATATGTTCCAGTTCAAAACCAAATTGCACATCGTTTACAGCGAGGCTAGCTGTTAAGCAACAACAGCAACTTGTACAAATTCCCAGGTTAGCCTCCACCTTTAGAGGGAGGTAGTCGGATGACTTTCAAAGTGGGTTACATGAGTGGTTATCGAGCACACAAATGTCCAATGCCTACCCATGCCCAGTGTGAAACCAGCTTGCAAGCGGATTGAGTATTTCAGAGGAGAAAGGGGTTGGGGATCCAAGGTTCCCCCTGTAGGACCAGTGTCAAGACTGAAAACAATAAGTTAGTTACCCAGCAAGACCATGTTGGGGTTGATTATAGTGATTAGTGGTTTTGCTCACCTGTGACATGGAGCGCAAACAATCAAAAAAAAAAAAACAAAACAAACAAAAAAAAAAAACAAAGAGGGTTGGCCAAGCTTGTTCAGCACAAAGGCAATAGTCAGTCCATCACGGCTCTGGTTCAGCTTCTTCTCGCGAGACCAAAATGGCAATCTTCTATTTAATTTTCATCATTAATTTTTTTATTCCTACTTTCAAGTCCATGTTGTGACTTCTTGTGCTGTGCCATTTCTTTCCAAACTGTGAAGTGGAGCTGGAGGGTAAAAGGTGGCAAGATACAAAAGTACAGTATGAATATATGAATATTGTACTCAAAATGGAAATACTAGCACTGTGAGTTCACTATTCTACAGGAGGTCGGAGTTTTATTCTGTTTTGTTCCTATGACAGTAATAAAATACAAATTTGCATGTAACCTAACCTACGCAAAAAATGGAAGATGGAAAGACGTAATGACAGCAAATTATAAAGTATTTGTATGAAACACATTTCGAGGTCATGAACAAAAAAACAATCAAAACAAAAAAATGGAACCACAGAGGTAACTGAGCATTCCTTCTTGTGCTTCATGAATATATTTTCTTACAGTGCTGCGGCGTAAGCCTGAGCCTGCCTTAAAAATAAGTACAGACTCTCACCTTCATCACGATACCACACAGCGGCAGCTCATACAGTCCTGACCACTCTCATCTGGTGGGTTCAGCTTCCTCAGCTTGTGTTGCCTGATTTCCCTGACCAGTGTGTAGAAGGCATCCTCGACTCCCTGTACATACCAAAAGACAGACACGACAATTACTTCTTGTTTTATGTCTTTGGCAACCTGTTCCTGTCAAAATATAGAACTGTTGAGTTCTTATTCAGGGGGGAGAGTAAAACTTTCTGTGCACTTTTTGTTGTTTTTGATGAGTCCAAAGAGAGTCGCACAATAAACACCTCCCATCAGGGAGAGCAAAGCCTTCTTGAGAGCACCCCATGGAGAAGTGTGTCAATGTTACCATGGCAATCATTTCAACTACTCTTCATCAAGATATCATACTAAGTGGAAAAAAAGCCCTCATTTAATTCTATCTCCAGACAGACCAACTGCCACTTCATCGATGAATAGGTCAGCCTGCATGTCAACGTACATAATGCATCACTGTGACTCAGGGAGCGGGCTACGCAGCTATTGCTATTTTCTATTGTGTTTCCAGCCAAGGTAACCTGCAAAAGAGTCATTGCCCTCAGCATAACACAATCATTCCAGCAAACCAAATTAAAAAATTACAGATTTGAGATCTTGCTGGCATAATTTGTTGAGAGGCGTTAAAACACACATATAGCAAAACTGTGGTACTGAGAATCAAAGAATTTGTGTTGGTACATGATCAGGTGTACAATAAAAATGGCCATTGTGATTTTTGACTGTATGTCTATTACTGAGTTCAAGCTTCACATTATGTACCTGTCGTGTCTTTGCAGAGGTTTCAATGTAAGGGATGCCGTAGGAACGGGCGAGTTCCTGGGCTTGCCTGGTGTCCACCGTGCGTGCCGGGAGGTCACATTTGTTGCCCACAAGCACCATGGGAACATCGTCTGAGTCCTTAACACGTTTAATTTGTTCTCTGTCGTTCACACACACAAAACAAAATGGCGACACAATTAAACATGAGCAGTCTTAAGTCGTTTTCCAGCTTGCCCCAACAATGTTCCCTGGCTTATATTGCAAACAGCAGCTGTTTCACCACTGGAAAGCCAAGCACCCAGGGAGCACTAGGACCCTGTGGAGGATCTAGTCCCTGGTGGTGCAGGGGACTGCTGAACTGATACCGGAAGGAGCGTGCTGGGGAGGAAGGGAAGGGAAGGAGGGATGGAGATGGACAGGCAGGCGGCAAACAGCATTACCTCATTGCAACAGCAGCCAGTCGTGAAATGAAACAGGCAAAGAGGAGGGGGTCTGATCAATCTATTAGCTCCTTCCCCCTCAGTTACAGTGCAGCAGGACACATCCACATTATTCAAAGCGAGAGCATTTGTCATCAACACCACGAATGGTGTTCGCCCGCCTCAGCTTACAGCCTTGTTATAAGTCAAATGGCGTAGGTGTTTCACACCCAATGGCTATTTTATAATATTCAACATTGAAATCGTAAGAGCTACAGCTCTGACCAGTGATGTGTTGCAACAGTGAGGGAATTACTAAAATCGTCTGTCAATATTAGCCCTTTACTGTAAATATTTGATCTTATTTTCTCTAGCTGAATGAAGGGAGAGCTACCAAAGATATATTGCCTTGTCAAAAATTCAAAGAAGGTAGAGGGAACTCCTCTCATATTTTGTCTCCGTTTGCTTCTCTGTCCTTGGGAGTTCCATCTCCAGCTGCCTTAATTGAGTCAGGATCAATGTCATTGGCATGGCGCTGTAATCCCCCAGTTGGGGCTAAGCTTTCTTCAGCTGTGTTAAACGCTACAGCCTGACATCACCCAAGCACTACGGAGAGCTGGCACAAACATAATGGAAACACACGCCTCTCCCTTTGGACTCTCCAACACAGTGCCCATAGAAATAGGCCCTGCAAACACATGGACGTGCCAAAATCCAAGGTCACAATTTGCCCACTCCTGTCATTTTTGCCACACCTGTACTGATGAATGTCCTCAAACGACTTTGTGTTGTTGATCGCGAACACGCAGAGGAATCCCTCCCCTGTCCTCATGTACTGGTCCCTCATTGCACTGTATTCCTCCTGACCTGCAGTATCCAGGATGTCCAGCAGGCAAGTTTCTCCATCAATCACAACCTGTTTCCTATACGAGTCCTGCAAAACAAACATAATAGATACATTTTCATTAAATACAGCAAAGCTTTTTCGGGTCCCTTTAATTCGACAGACCCGATCTCTGAAGTAGCATAGAAGTTTGGCGACAACACACAAGACCTCACCTTCACATGCAGATCTGTGAGCATGACAGGTTTAACTCTGTTAACTGTTTTGCTTTTTGTTGTGTTTTTTGCCACGAGTATTCGAAAATATGGGAATGTGATCAACCTTCACGGTCCCCCAATGTTTGAGCAGCCAATAATCCTTTAAAACATGAATAGTGAACATATTCGGGTGTTGAAAGGCCATGTAGAAATGGGCAAAAACCTGAAATTGACGCTTGGCTTACCCCTTTTCTAACACTTCCTCTGAAAGGAACATTGGATTGTGTTCTACCGCATGGTCTATTCACACGGAACCTTGGTTTTTGTAGTACAGGAGAGACTGTAGTAGTATGCGTGTATGCGCAGCTATCAGCAGCAATGCTGCTCGCCGTAGTGAAAGTGAAGCCACTTGCGGCCATCTTACATTGCCACTCGCTAAGTGAGCCTACCTTGAATACATTGACTTATCTGCGTCATTCTCACATTATTTTCTGTCTCTGCAAAAATCACACACATAGGTGTGTATAAGTCCGTACATCTGGCGTCCAATTCATCGGAATTACACAAGCAGCAGTAAACTTTCATGGTTAGACTCAAGGACACAGCACAGCAGCGCATTTTTGAAGTGAGGAGGACACCTACTGCTATATTCCTGTGATGAGGGACATGAATATAATGTGTTTTATTCACGGTAGAAAGTAACAAATGATGTCTATTTGCATCACAGTGTTGTCCGTGCGTCGCCCTTTAAATCGGGATACTCATTTATGGCAGTGACTGTGTCCTCACGCATGCAAATGGTTGATTCCGAATGTTTCAGAAACCAGAATTTTGACCTGAAGCTGAATAGTGATTGCATTTAAACGTAGCAAAAGAGAACCATTTCAAATAATAAATTTTCGCCTTTAATGAATTCTAACTTTGACAAACTGAGCTTGCGCACGAGTGCACAAGAAAACAATAGTTTTTTTAAGGCTCTTTCTCTGTTGAAGACACAGTGTAGAACTTTTTTTAAATTTATGCAGCGATGTAAACAGCTTTGTAGTTTCTCCTTAGACTTAACCACTATTCCCTGTCCACTTTCAGCTCATACTAACTCAACAATCCAGGAGCCAAGTTAGTATTTAGCCCTCCAATGTGTAGCCACAAAAACATGGGAGTGCCTTCCCTTTGTTTATTAGAGCATAGGAGCCAGGAATGCAAATACACAAAAAGGACATTGTCTGCCCAGAGGCAGGCGTGGTGAGAAAAGAGAGTGAAAATGGGAGAAAATGAGGAGGCGGGGGGGAGGTTGGGGGGGGGTTTGGCGGATACCAAACCTTACAAGCAAGCACGAGAATTACTTTCATAATATGTCTGATACCTCTGTAAGAGAGTTGTACTCACAGAAACACCAGCCAGTCAATAATTGTGTCAATAATCTGCTATGCCCCTTGATTTAACTTTTTTTCTGCTCACCAGATACATTTATAAGTAAATGTTATAAAACAGCAGGCATGTGCACCAATATAAAGGTTGTCAAAGTAATTTCATACTAAATGGTTTTGCTACCTTCTTACCCAGGATTCCAGTGGGACTGACGCAGGAATATGTAAAATGTGTAATGGAAGAAAGAAAGACTGGCATACCTCTATGGTGGGGTCATATTCATCCACAAAGTGGTTCTGGATGAGTTGGATGGTGAGTGCACTCTTGCCCACGCCTCCAGCACCCACAACCACCAGCTTGTACTCTGTCATCTTTGCCACTGTGGCTCACACACACACAGACACACACACTGCTGCTGCAGCTGTAGAGAAGAAAACCAAGCACAGACAGGCTGCCATTTAGCACATTGACAAACTCATTGCACATTAGCACCTGGGGAGATTTAAAATGTTCAAATGCACTTTTACCAAAAGTAGAGCTGACAGATATGACGTCATATATCGCAAAGATGATATTGGGTCATAGTTTTCTCTGACTGTGTCTATCATCAGTTGTAAAACACGAGTGAAAAGAACAGAGAGAAAAAGCTTGATATGATGGGCAAAAACTAAACATTCTTACGCCGTGCAACTACCACCAGGTGGCCCACCAAACAATAACACCTCAAAGTGAATCACAATACACAATCGTCATACATAAAAAACCTACCTGCAAAATGAAATCAAACAGTCACTGAAAATAAACAATGAGATGGCAAATAACGAACTGTATTACTGAGGGAAAGGATGAAGAGAAAACAACAAATCCATAATTATTCATATCTACAAAAAAATAGGGCACATCAAGGCATGCTGGGTACACCTTCAAACTCCACAAGCCTGGCATATGAGTTTGCATCTTGAGCCTCATCAAAACACAAAGATAGCAGAACTAAGAATCACAGACTTTTCAAGTTTTTCCCAGAATTGAAAGGCAGTGACCATGCCCAAAAGCTTTGCTGGGCTGCTTGTATCAACTACATTAGTAGGTTAAATAAAAGGCAAATAAAGTAAAGAAACAAAAAAGTGCTTTTATTTTTGAAAAGTACATATAATGCTATTCTGTTTCATTATGTTTTAAGAATTAAATCAGTCAAATGGGATCCATTATTGTCCACACACTGTTGACGGCGTTCACTAAAGTTGTCAATAACATATTCATTTTTTTATCTGAGAAAAGTCTCTAGCATCTCACAATATCGATCAGAGTTCACAGTCACTGTAACGTTATCTGTTTCGAAGAAGTACGGACCCCATATATCCAAAAAATGGCATTATATGAGGTGCAGGGTTCGTTTCTGGCTCTGGCCTTCCTGTGTGGAGTTTGCATGTTCTCCCCATGCCTACGTGGGTTTTCTCCGGGTACTCTGATTTCCTCCCATATTCCAAAAACATGCATGGCAGCTTAATGGAACACTCTTAAATTGTCCTTAGGTGTGAGAGTTAGCGCAAATGGCTGTTCGTGTATGTGCGCCCTGCGATTGGCTGGCAACCAGTTCAGGGTGTACACCGCCCACTACCTGAAGACAGCTGGGATGCGATCCTTGTGAAGATAAGCGGATTAGAAAATGGATGGATAGGGCTCATCTTTTTATTTATTTATTCATGTCATTTACTTTAATCAATTTCTGTCGGAATCATAATTTTTTTTATGCCTCTTATTTAAATTGATATCCACATTTCTACAAAAATATACAGGTTACTGAGCTTCTGTTTACATTTGCCAATTTTATATAGCAGCACTACTGGATGCAGTTCCCATTTGATACAGCTCTATTTAATGTCACATAAAAAAAAGAGAAAAGGTAAGCATGCATAGTGTGTTGTATTATTTTTTTTTTTTTATAGAATAACTGAAAATATATTGTGGTATATCGTGATGATATAAAATGGTTTACATCGTGACAGAAGATTTTTTTTCCGTATCAACCAGGCCAACAAAAAATGCAGATTAGAACTAAATGATGAGATGAGAGAGCGAATAGAGTGGGCCTGTGTTAGGATCCTCACAGCGAAATGTTAAAAATGTGCTGAAGGTACTCAGCGTTCCACTCTCCCGCTCAGTATGAGAGGACAGAAAAAGGAGCACGATATAGGGACAGCTCGAGGCTTCACATTCCTGAGGGGCAGTTTTTCCAAAACATATCTGTGCTCTTTTTGTCATTTATCTATTCAGCATGTCGATGTTCTGGCAATATTTGACTTATTGTCCGAGTTTCAAACTTTAAATGCTGACATTGAAGGGCGAGCAGATTTATAGATGTGTAAATCAATACCAAAATAGAAAAACATGGTTTGTCTTGTGTAGAAAAAAAAAATGTGATTCGCTTCTCCTCTCCTACTTACGGACTTAGATATCACAAAAACATATGGCATGTCAAGTGCAATATGATCCAGGAAATATTTCATGTGTATATGTTTTTGAGCGCCTTTTATTCATATGTATAAATATAAATGGCTGTTTTAACGATTAATAAATTCATGAAGATGGTAATGAAACAAATGAACAAAAGTGTTGGGATATAATGTGTAACCGTCAAAGAATGAAACATTGGGCTGTTTGTGTAAAAACAGCGAGGAAATACAAATTTACAACCATGAACAGTATAAAAACATTTCTTTAAGCATTGCCTGTGCATTCAATAAATGTTGGGGGCGGGAGTGGGGGAATTGGAAGCTGACGTGCAGTATCAACGAATGAAACATGCAATCATGACTTACACCGAAAATACGCTCTGGATGGCTTTTTTCTGTTTCTGCTGTTGTGCTGGTGTACTATAGCTGTCGCACGCGATGGCAAAATGAAACTCAATCTATTTCAAATTTACCACAAACGTAATCCGTCTATGACCTGAAAGTGACTGCAACACAGAGCAGTGTCGGGCATGATGATACATGATGAGTCAGGGCTACGAAGAGGAGAAGCTTCCACGGAGGTTTAGCAAGATTACATCAGACGCAAGTTAGGGCTAGTCACCCATGGTCAACCGCACGCTCATTCTGCCAAAGGGACCTAGCAACCCTGTGCTTACAGTCACAATTTGAAATACTGTACATAAGGACGACAATGAGTGACAAGGCAATACCGTCACGGGAATAATGTTTCACTGCAATTTAGGAGAGGAAAATCACAGTGAATCCTTACAACATTTTAGGGTGCAGCTGTCTTGTGTTTGGCAAATTGGTGCCGTTGTTAAATCCAGCTTCTTTCATCTTAGACAGCTGGCTAAAGTAAAACCTCCCCTTTCTCATGAGCACCTTGAGACAGTAATTCATGCCTTCGTCACATCCCGGCTCAATTACCGGAATGCACTTTATTTTATATTTAGCCAATCCTCCATTAAGCGTATCCAGCTGGTCCAGAATGCTGCTGCTCGCCTCTTGACTGGTACTCGTAAGAGGGAGCACTTAACTCCTGCTCCCTATACATTTTGGAGTTCTTTTCAAGATCCTATTATTTGTTTTCAATTCTTTAAATGACCTCGCGCCACCTTACCTCTCTGAGCTCATCCGCCCCTACACACCTGCCCGGCGCGCCTCAGGTCTGCGGACCAGACAGAAGTACCAAGAACTAAGCGGAGGCTCAGAGGCGATCGAGCCTTTTCCGTTGCTGGTCCCTCTCTCTGGAATGACATCCCACTGAACATTCGGCAAGCCCCCTCGCTGCCCATCTATAAAACCCACCTCAAAACTCACTTGTATTCTTTGGCATTTGACTCAGCATGACTCAGATTTGATCTTACTTTTACTGTTTGGTGCTTTCTACCGTCTTTGTTACTGACTTATTGCTTTACTGTTGTATATATATGTTAGTTGCTCCATGTGCAGCACTTTGTATGCAGCGATGGCTGTTTGAAAGTGCTCTATAAATACAGTTGAGTTGAGTTGTGTTTGATGACAGCATTACAGATCCCTTGCCAGTATTTGCCTCCTTCTAAAATCATCATTTAAGGTTTTGTTTTGTTTTTTTGCAGTTTTTTTTTTTTTTGCAGTTTGATTTTTAAAAGATCATTAAAAAAAAAAAACGTACTTTCCCCCCCCCCCCCAGTCTT